CACCCAGTGATACAAAGTGCCACCATGCGCATGAGGGTCACCCATGGAGAGGTCCCAGAATCCACTTTTAGCCGTTGGGCCATATTTATGGCCCGTCTATATTCAGGGCCCCGGCAAAAGCTAGGGTGGGGCTTCAAATAATGAAACACTGCATCCCACACGGGGATGACTTTGCCAGCATGATGTTTAGCAGATCAACTTCTGACTGCCAGTTGGTCTACAAAATCTAGGTCTAGCATGGAAGCATGGATAAGGAGTTCTTTATTTAAATGCAATCACTGTAGTCTGTTATGGATGTGATAGTTGGAAAGCAACAGTAGCTCTACATTAAAAAAAAAGAATTAGTTTTGAGAACAGATGTCTTAGAAGAATACAAAATTCCACTGGACAGATTTCAGATCCAATTTGCAAATAAGAAAAAGACCAAACAAGATTATGTATCCAATTTTATAAGAAAGCGCCACTGAAACTACATCGTCCATGCACTCAGAATGGATAAGACCAGACTCCCCCATCAAGCCTTCATACGGATACCACAAGGGAAAAGAAAACAAGGAAGACCAAGAGAAACCCTTCACCAGGCCAGGCTCAACCATGGGCCTAATGAACATCCAAGACCTAAAACACGTGGCAATGAACAGCCAGACATGGAGATCCATGAGCTCTGCCATATGTGCTGCCCTAGGCTCAAGAGGCAAGACTAACTGCAGTCTGTTGCATCATCCTTATAATAAATAAGCTAAAAACACATTATTACTTCTTTTATTTTTAAGAGCTGTTTGTTTTAACAGTGTTATCTCTTGATTTATGTTTACAATAAAATGGCCAAGCAGCCTATACCTCTCCCCAGTTGAATAGATGAAAGAGTAACATTATGTGGAGAAGGGTAAACAGAATGTGGTACTCCTGATCTATCAGGCTATGGCAATGTGATCATCAGGTACCAGTTGGAAAATTCTTTACAGGCAGAAAAAGAAGTGAAGGTCCCAGAAAAATATCAACTGTTATTTCGGGGCGCACTAAATGCAACCGAGGAATCGTCATGGTGTAGCGGCTACATGCTTGTCTGCGGATCCCATGATCGAGGGTTGAAATCTGAAATGGCCCCAGATTTTTTCCAAAATGACCTTGGCCCCCAGTGATTCAGCCTGAAATGTGTACCAGGTAAGTAAAGGTAGCCAGCATCTCTCTCTCTCTCTCTCTTGTTGCACCCCACCAGCACATCACTCAAGCCATAAACACCCAGTGATACAAAGTGCCACCATGCGCATGAGGGTCACCCATGGAGAGGTCCCAGAATCCACTTTTAGCCGTTGGGCCATATTTATGGCCCGTCTATATTCAGGGCCCCGGCAAAAGCCAGGGTGGGGCTTCAAATAATGAAACACTGCATCCCACACGGGGACGACTTTGCCAGCATGATGTTTAGCAGATCAACTTCCGACTGCCAATTGGTCTGCAAAATCTAGGTCTAGCATGGAAGCATGGATAAGGAGTTCTTTATTTAAATGCAATCACTGTAGTCTGTTATGGATGTGATAGTTGGAAAGCAACAGTAGCTCTACATTAAAAAAAAAGAATTAGTTTTGAGAACAGATGTCTTAGAAGAATACAAAATTCCACTGGACAGATTTCAGATCCAATTTGCAAATAAGAAAAAGACCAAACAAGATTATGTATCCAATTTTATAAGAAAGCGCCACTGAAACTACATCGCCCATGCACTCAGAATGGATAAGACCAGACTCCCCCATCAAGCCTTCATACGGATACCAAAAGGGAAAAGAAAACAAGGAAGACCAAGAGGAACCCTTCACCAGGCCAGGCTCAACCATAGGCCTAATGAACATCCAAGACCTAAAACACGTGGCAATGAACAGCCAGACATGGAGATCCATGAGCTCTGCCATATGTGCTGCCCTAGGCTCAAGAGGCAAGACTAACTGCAGTCTGTTGCATCATCCTTATAATAAATAAGCTAAAAACACATTATTACATCTTTTATTTTTTAAGAGCTGTTTGTTTTAACAGTGTTATCTCTTTATTTATGTTTACAATAAAATGGCCAAGCAACCTATACCTCTCCCCAGTTGAATAGATGAAAGAGTAACATTATGTGGAGAAGGGTTCAGGTACCAGTTGGAAAATTCTTTAAAGACAGAAAAAGAAGTGAAGGTCCCAGAAAAATAACCCCCCAGAGACAAGAGGTTTATCGTGTCCATCATTTCGCATTCTCCAACTGCTTTATCTAAGAAATCTGACTGCTTTGCTTTCTAGAGATCTGATGTGTGTCAGCAGACTGCACTGCAGATTAGTGAATGAGGCTGCTCTCAAATCAAACCTACCTAAAACCCAAGAGTGACATCACAAATGAGAAGGGAGTTAACAAAAATTAAAAGAAATACTAAACTAAAATTCTTTAATTCTAATGTCAAATCAGTACTTTTGTATGGAGCAGAAACAGGGAGAACTAAGACAATTACTAATAAACTACAAACTTTCATTAACTGGTGCCTGCACAGAATAGAGAAAATTAAATGGTATGATAGAATCAATAATGTAGAGCTTTGAGAGAGAACTAAGCAAGCTCCAGTGGATCAAGAGGTGAAGAAAAGATGCTGGCATTGGACAGGGCACACATTGAGAAAACCTGAGAGCAATAAAACAAGAATGTCTTCACACTGGAACCCACAGAGGCATAAAAAATGAAGGAAGACCCACACACACAAAAAAACATAGAGAAGGGATCTAGAGAGTGAAGTTAAAAAGATAGGGAAGATGGGAAGAGCTGCATGCAATAGCGATGGATAGAATGATCTGGCATGAGCTGATTGAGGGCCTATGCTCCATTAGAGTAAGAAAAGCAGAAGAATGAGAAGGGGGTGCCAGCTGTCTTGGATTCCTACTTCTCTTCCAATCTGAAAATGTACTGTCCAACTGGTACTAGACGACCTCATTTTAACAACTATCTAGCCACAGCCACAGCCAATTCCAACAAAAATATCACATTATGTGTACCCTTATCCACATAATGTTAAGACTTCTGACTGGCAGAAAAAGTCACGTTTTCTTTTTGTTAATTTTCTTGCAAACATAAAATCCAGAGATAATTCTGCTGAAACAATCAAAATGCCTGAAAACACTAATAGTCTGTGTCTGCCATTGATAATCTCAGTGTGGTGCAATAGGTTGCAATTATTGCCTTTTGTATGCCCCATAGTTGTTGATGCAATACTCTGCAATATTATAGAAATATTAATTATTTACTAGGTAGTCTTAAAATTGTAGCCATCACTGTAATTCACACAATCACTTTCTAACACTACAATGGTGGACATTATGCAATAACACAAGGAAAGGTGCATAATAGCAGCTCATCATCTTCGGTCCGGGTGTATTTCATTTAAACAAAAAGTCAATGTATCTCTTGGCAAATTGCAGCACTCTCTAGCAGCTGTGGTTTCTGCCACAGAACTGACCAAGTGGATAATTCTTAGAGGATAAATAAGGCAAGTCATTTTAGGCTGCTACTGAAAATTATATCATCTGGAAAAAACTGGTTATCTCAATCTAGAACATTCTATATCAGTGGTTGTTGCGGGACGCCGCTTCAAGTAGACAAAATACTTTTGGCTGAGGTACCACCCCTTTGTGACCCTTCTATTTTTCCCTTTTACGTAAGCCAAGTGACGTTATTTTCGTCATAGACGACATTGAGGGATATCCCGATTATAGTATACGGCTGCTGTTTGGGGATTTTCTACCGTCTTATTTGCAATTCCTTTGCGCTTTCACGTATAGAATATGCTGCTAGCAAATTCGGCAACGTAGCTGAAAAACCCTGGCCACCAACGAAAACCCTGCGGTGAGACTGAATTGCCAGGCATTGACTTCAGGTCGCTAGCAGGAGTTAGAGCGTGCCGTTTTGGAAGACAACTTTGATTCTGTCTTTCCTGCCGCTAAAAACCCTAGCAGCATGACCATATAGTTACATCTAAATCCAGGTGAGCCCAGTAATTGTTAATTAAATCGTGATTTCCGTTTTCGGGCCGCTTTTCGTGTACAATATTAGAATTGTACCAGACAATGTCATCATCATCATCATCTTCTTTGCTCTACTCCTGAATGCCTCGTGGCATCAAGACAGGAAGAATTCTCTGGAACAAGTCCTTTTGTTCGCTTCATAAAAAGTACTTTTCAGTGTCTCTGATATTTCTGCGGTCCATTTTCTGTGTGGGAGACCTCTGGCTCTGTTAGCGCTGTATCTGTATAACATTGCTCTCTGTGGTGTTCTGTCTGATGCTAATCTTACGTTACATGACCCAACCATCAACATAACACAGATTCTCTACCTTAAGACCATACTCAACTCCTGGGTGTCTACATGACAGATCTCATTACACAATCAATGTATAATAAACAGATATCTCAAAATGTTCCTAAATGGTAGTTAACTCTTATGGGGTGACACAAGAATATTTACCCCATAAAGTGCAGAAGAAAAAGAATCAGATACTGCTCTCATAGTGTAATGATAATCTGTCATTAGTCTGCTTTTAACACGATCAGCCCTCACTAGCACTAGAGAGTATGCCTACACTGCCTTCAATACTTAATTCAGACCATTTCTTTACTACTACTTTGTCTCTTTACAAATGCTACATGAAAATGTAATCTAAATTATGTCAACATATGGAATGTCTAGCATGATTTCTATTGGAGATAGGTCAGCTAAGTGATTCTGTGTATTCATCTTCTTATCTGTGGTATTGTGGATTTATGTAATATGCTCATGAAGGATCTCTAGCTGCGACATTTTACTGGTCATCGGTCTTTGTAACACTATAAAGCTAATGGTTCTATTTGTCATCTGGTTTGATATCTTTTTGTGATATGGAACTTATACACGACTTGCAAACAAGATCCACTAGGGAAACTACTGAAAATCTGGTCACAAACCCCACAAACCATTGGCCCATTGGGTGTGTTCACTGCACTCTCTATGATGCAGCTCCTTGCAAAACCAAAGCTTTATAATCGACTTTCCTCTTGTTCCTACGGCCTTCATGACCCTCTAAAGACTTATTCTCAAACAGATCATATCTCCTTTCTGTTGCTTGTGACTGAAAGAGAGCAGAAATAAGACTATTGAAAACAGCAATGATCACGTTAATTATATTTCACACCTATTTTACACAGGAGCCGCGGTAGTCGGTGGATGTTTGTCTACCAGCCCAAAGTCATGAGTTCGAACTGCACTGGGTGGATTTAATAAACCATTACCCTGACTCCCAGTTCGACCCAGGCTAAAATGGGTCATGGGTGGCAAAGGCAGCCAGCATGATGGTGAGCACATGACCAATGAGGGTGATCTGATACTAGCATCATATGCCCGATGCATCACTGGCATCCATTTTAGGCCTGATCAATTAAATTCCCCATGATACAGACACGAACCTATGACCCTTGGGTCTGTAGCCAGTCATCGAGCCAGTGCTCTACCAGGACTCTCAGTATTAGTATTAAAGGTCAATGTTTATTTTTCTTCAATACAATACAAGAGAAAATATTACTGATTTGCAGAGTACATTTATTCTCTGTAGTGTCTCTTCTTTTTAGCTTTCACCGGGTGTATACTCTAATGGAAAGTTCTGGTTGTCAACCAACTTCAGGGCTTCAGTTTTTTTTCCAGATCTTGAGTTCTCTATCACTTTCTCATAACTTCTCCTTCTATAAATCTTTACCAGCTGTCCAGCAAGTTCCAACTTGTCTTATCTCTTTAGGTGGAAAATGTTGTCTTAAGAATTGTGACAAGAAACCAAAACATTAGAATACAAATTATGAAAATCTAGTGTCAACACGGAGTCTATCCAACCTATAAAATGGTCATCAGAGATAGTGTCATGAGGTGGGTCACCCCATCTAGTATATGTGTAAGCCTAATATCAATCTACTAGGTGAGTTTAAAAAAGTCGGCGTATGTGGCTTGGGCGTTGCAAAACACGCTTCGTAATGCCGGGTTCGATTCCAGTTGTGGGCCTTGTCCTTTGCATTGGTTTCGACAGTGGTATCAAGAAGCAATGGCAAACTACTGGATGTTAATTTGCCCAAAAAAAGCTACTATAGCAAAATACAATATGCTGGGGCTGGTTCTGCAACGTCCTGTAAAGAATACACCACTAACTTGTTGTAGTCAACATTATGTTGTCTTGTCTTAACTACCTATGACATTTCCTGCTACTCATGTTACACTGGGTTCTCCGAGGAGCCCACAACAAATATGAAAGTGCCTAGATGTATATTCAATTCCCAAGAACACCAGACCAGCAGGCAAAGGTCTAGCCACTGCACTAACTGTAGTTCCCAGTAGAAAAGTGTTTTGTGATCAAACTTATGCACTCTAAACACTGAACTGATATTTCTGACCCATAATATTTGGTCTAATTTACAATATTTCCAACTTTATATTTCACTGATAAGCCTCTATTTCATACTTACTACAAGCTGAAAATTAAAAGGCAATTCTTTAAAAAAAAATCTATTGATTTGAACATTGATTATCTAAAGATTCTGAGTTCAGTGACTGAATTCTTCAGCTTCTGTGTTCACCCCTGAAAGAGGTGATTGACAAGTTGCTGTATTCAACAAAGTCTTCTTTTTCTTCTTCACGGTCACCAGCTGTAAACTCTGGTGAAAAGTTTTAACTGTTTGTCCATTCTGGACCTGGACTGTAGTCTTCTTCCAGGACGTCTTCTTCCAGAACCTAATGTGTGCACATCTGTTTTACAGATCTGGCTTATTTGTACGCAAACTCCTGGTTCCTTTCCTCTGAAACAGACACATGATGACTTCAAAGGAAGCCCCAATTAGTCCACTCCTACGACATGCTTGTTGGGTAGGCATTGGGTCTATTCTTGCTTTCCCCACAATGAGGCTCCCGATCCCACATGGAGATACTAGGCAGTGATATGTACATTTTACATTTTCCAAACCAACACATCTGTTTTCCGCAAGGCCCTAATTATCCATCCATAACATGCTTGTCCGGGGCTCCATTATAAGGAAGAAAAGGGAACAAACATGTTGTAAAAGGCGACTAATCAGAGGTGTGTCCTTTGAAGTCAGAGCTCATCAGCTTGACAGGCAAGGAACCAATGTCTGCATATAAATAAGCTAGATGTGTAAAACAGATGTGCATGCAAAACTCAAATTCTGGAACAATACCAAAGTCCAGAAGTGGAAGAGCAAGTGAAACTTTCCACTGGAGTTTACAACAGGTGAACACAAAGAAGTAAGTAAGTAAATATTACTCCACCAGGACATCACACAGAGGGATAAACACCCGGGGACACAAAATGCCACCTTGCGGATTAGGATCACCCGTGGAGAGGTCCCAGAAACCACGTTCCGCCTTCAGGCTATATTGGGGCCATCGGAAAAAGCTAGGGTTGGGCTTCAAAATAACGAAAAACTGCGTCCCACATGGGGACGACTTTAGATAACTAGTATGGCAAAGAAGAAAGTTAAGAAATCACTTTCCTACAAAACCATACTCACCATCTTGTTTCTGACATGTCTGGGAATGTCCTCATGTTCCGCCCACAGCTCATCTCGCCTGGCCTGCAGCAGCGAGCTGTCCTCAAACTCAATCTGAGATAGTTAGAGACAATGTTGCTTTCACAATCTTTCAATCTCACAATCACAGTTATACACACACAATAACAATGAACAGGATGAGTTCAAGAAACAAGACAGGGAAATAAAAGAAGAAATAAAAGAAATGTCTGGACATCCTCTTGTAACATCAGTCATAAGAAAAGGAAGACGGCAATTCTTCTTCTTCTTTCATTTGCTTGAAATAAATTATCTATATCTGCAATGCTGTACCAGTATGAACTTTACTGTCTTTTGGAATTCACTTAGCAGCCCGTAAAGTTTGGCTTCCCCCAGTGTCTCTCCTGGCCAGGCATTGAAATGGCAGACAAAAGTGAGGATGAAAAGATAACATCCACGAGAAACCGTATGACAAACACCTCTAAGTTAAGTTGAGTTGGGTTGATTCAAGAACCGACATCACAGCACTCAGGGCATTCCCATAAGCGCTCCGTCCCCATCTTTAGCAGCCAGTGAAGAGTTCTGATACTAATGGTGCCAGTAGCATTCTGATTAAACGTCCATCTTGCCTTTCCTCTGAGCCTCCAGCATCTGCCAGAACCTCTCGTCACTCCCTCTGCATTAATCTCACCAGACTGTGGTGATCCATCTGCTCCTCTGAACTGTACACGCTCTCCCACTAGGCACTAACCACGTCTGTCTTATCATGTATCAGTATTCCACCAAGCTGTGCAGAGCCAGCCAGTCTGTCCGACTGTTCATTTCCCTACACACCGGCATCTGCCGGTGAAAAAATCCAGACATTATTCCTCACCCGTGTCCTCCACAGTGAAGCATGCCACTCTGCACGAAGCATACCTGTCCTGAACTTCCTCAGGTTGCTTTCTGAATCAGTTACAATCACTGTGTGTGTGTATGTGTGTGTGCGTGTGGGTCATATTTTCTAACACTGCTGAGAGAAGCAAAAGGTGCTGGACTGGATTCCATCCACAATATCAAAAGAACTTACAGAATGGAATGAAAGAATTCAATATTTGCCTGTATAAGCCTGACCGAGCTAGCCCAAGAAATTGCCATTTCAACCTCAAAGTCAAGTATTTAGGAGTTTGAGATTTCTGCTTTATAGACTGTTACTTCTATAGGTGCTGTTCACGGCAACCGCGACGTTTAAATTAGTTTACGGACTGCGCGCCGTTTCATTCATAAATCATTGGACTGCTCTGGGGCATAGGGGTGTGAGCTAATTCTAGATTGTTTCAGGTACACCACCGGCGATGGATGATGTTGTGGGTGGAGAGGGTGGGGGTAAATTGTCGGAGCCAGCCAGGCAACCTTTCAATATGTCGAGACGCAGTTCGCTCGACACAAAACAGATGTCGTGAACCCCTGTGACCCAGAAAAGTCAAAGAAGCTATGAATGAAAGGTCAACGTCATGGTTACCGTGAATGGCACCTTTCAATAATGTAATCTCTAAGATGCCATTCTTCCTACACAGTGTCCATATGCAATACTGATGTAATGGAATGGTGACAGTGTAAACCATACTGGGAGAACGATAAGATGATTTAAAATACAAGGAGTAAGGTAACTCACCGTGTAAACATCCTGGATGTTAATTTTACGGTAGGTGGCTCCATAGATTGCACCATCTGGCCATCGAACGAAAATATGCTCTCCTTTCTCAGGAGGTCCATCCCTCAAACAGTCTCGGTCCTACAGAGGAAATACAGACCAGTTTTTACTCAAATATTTTGTTTTTTCTTTTGGCTATCTTCTCGTAAACCAGATTCAATGCATAAACACAAGAGTTTTTACAAAGCCAATTATTTTTAAAGTGTATTTACAACAACAACAACAAAGTTCAAAAAATCAACCAAGCATTTTCTCTTCTTCTTCTTCACTTATCTTTTACCACTTCTAAGAGTCCAGAGCGACATAAGGTTCTCCTCTTGTTTTCCTGATCGCCTCGATAATAAACAGACTGTACTGCGGTGTTATCTTTCCAAATTGTTCTTGGGGCACCTTTTGTCTTACATCCCTCTTCTTTTCAAGTATGCCTTGGAAGATATATATCACAAGGCCTTCTTCCTAAATGGACAAACTATTTTATCTGTTGTCTTTTTTATGAATTTTTGTTTTTGGGGTATCATATTAATTCTGTGCCAACTTTTCTCCTAAGACTTAACTCTTGATATTATCTTCTCTGGTTAAGCATCTTCTTCTACAACTGTTGATCTTTATACCCGACCCTCTGTTTAATTAACAACTATTGTAAACTGTTATGTTTAAAGTCTGGGATGATGCACTCTCCACAACATAGGTTGGCTGTAATAAATAAATCAAGTGCTAACTATGGGAGCTGAGTTGATTCAAGAACCAACATCACCACACTTGAGGCATTCCCATAAGCGCTCCATCCCTATCTTCAGCAGCCAGCACAGAGTTTCAATGCCAACGCTGGCAGTGGTAGTCTGATTACATGCCAGTCTTGTCTTCCTCTAAGCGTCGAATATCGGCCAGATCCCGTTGTCACTTCTATGACTATGGGAACATTCTGTTATGAGACCACATTGTCCTCCACAGTGTGAATATTGTACCATAGTCTGAAAGACATGAGAAAAGACTTTTCTTTAACCACCCACTGCAGCAACTGAACCTTAGTAAATGTCTTTTGTATTGCCTGATGGAATTCTCCCAAGATGCATGAACCACCTTATTTGTTTTACATTATTAAATAGTGCACATGGTACCTATAATATATACTATCTCTGTATCTCTTTCACACCTATTCTGGTTGTAATAATTTCATCTCTAGATAACCAGAAATTACACCCCCCTCCCCCCCCCCACACCAAATCAAACTGCATTTAAAATAAGAAAAAACACATTATTTTTCTAGAGTCGTGATGTAATGTTGAAAGTCTTCTTACAACTGTGCTGTGTTAGCAGTCAAGTTTATCAACATTTCTGTCTTGTGTACCTAAAATCATTTCTGACATAGATGATTTTCTATGCCATGATGTTAAACTGTCCAGTATCCTCTCTTTCAGTCTGGTCTCCCTCTGCTTCTTTTCTCCTCTAACTTTCCTACTGTCACGATGTACTTATTTTCTCCTGTCCCCCTCTGAAGTCGATAATCAGTTCTCTTCATGTGTTAATGTCTTTCAATACATCTTCATCGCCTTTTTTTAAAAAAAAATTTTAAATCTGTCCATTGTATTCTTAATATTCATCCATAAAACCAGATTACTGTAACTTTTATCTAATTTTTTCATTAAATTTCTAAATGTCCATGATTCCCTTTTGTATTTCAGAAGTGGCACTATACAGCATTTAATCATTCTTTTCCTCACCCCAGCTGACAAAGATAGATTATTGTCTTAACTCTTTTAGTCCCAGAAGATCACAGCTGATGACCGAGGGAAGAAATAATGACAACAAAAGCATGGGTATACTGCATCCGCAGGGTGCAAATACACAACACAGTATGGGTGTTGCTGGACGGATTTAGTCTGCATGACTAAACTTAAGATATAAAAAAGACCCTTTTCCACACCTTTAGACGTACTGGGCATATAGGGCTAGACCTAAATTGTATAGACCACCCACTTGGTGGGTGATGTGGTCTTAGCATCACGCCGCCTGCCTTTATTTTCCAGGACTGCAGCTGGTACCCATTCAAGGCTGGGTCGACCTGGGAGTCAAGGCAATCTTTAAAAAAAATGTGAAAAAACCCGGCTCTCTCAGGACTTGAACCCACACCTTTCCACTCTACAGGTGAGCGTCTAGCAGTTACACCATGGCGACTCCTAAAACTGAAGACGTACAATTATATAAAACATGTTGACTGGTGCCCATGTGTAAAATCCGGTGTACAGGATGCATTGTCTGGGATTGAAAGAGTTAAAATATAAATACACACAGACATTAACAAATCTGCCTCACCTCTACATCTTCAGGCATCAAATCCTCACTGAAAGATCCATCATCAAAGTCCACTTCATACATCCTTTTCCTCTCAACATCTATCACCCGGCCCCAATAAAACCTCTTGTTTCTATGTTTCGCTACCACTCGATCGCCCTCACTGAGATCCAACAAGTCCTCCTGCTGCCTACCCTCATGCCGAGACTGGGAAGACAGGTGCCTCAAACAGGACACGTATATGGGTATAGGCCAATCACTGATCTCAAATTTGACACCAGCAGCGTAGCCACAGGACACATGAAATGATTTTGTGCACCTCCCGATGGAACACTGAACACAGGCTGTCTGTTGCAGACTGTTTGAAGTTATAGAAGCGCAGAGGCTGCATTTCTGCAATGAAGAAGGGAAATAATTGAAGACATGAATATGCAGTCAGCATTTCAAACATATATTAATGGATCAGTGACTAAGAAATTATACATATGTTAGTTACATATCTCAAATCAGTACTGCTGTATGAAGCAGAAACATGGAGAACAACTAAGGCAATTACTAATAAAGAGCAAATATTCATTAACTGGTGCCTGCGCAGAACTGAGGGAATTGAACGGTGTGATAGAATCACAAATACAGAGCTTTGGTATAGAACTAAAAGAAAGTTACAGTGGACTAAATGGTGAGGAAAAGATGCTGGCGTTTGGTAGAACACACATAGGGAAAACCTGAGATTATTATAACTGTAACTTATTTTCACCCCACACTCACAGAAATAAAGGACAACCAAAAAAACATACAGAGATGGGAGCTAGAGGGAGAAGTTAAAAATATGGGGAAGACATGGCGAGAGCTGCATGCGCTAGCGAAAGAGAAACTTGGCGTGAATTTGTTGAGGGCTTATGCTCCACTAGGGGTTAGAAAGGCAGAAGAAGTTACTTATCCTGTGCAGAATGCTGCATACCTATCCCAACACTGAGGTTTAACTAGTCAATTTTACATTCAGCAACTTGCCATTTCATCCCATGGTGCTAGTGCCTTGTCGTGGCGGGATGGCTTGAGTACCCTAATGACTTTCAGAGCTATGCCGGCAGGATACTTGTTCCCCTGGTAGGTTTAACCATGCTAAACAGATCTTGAGAAGAAGAGACGGACAAAACTAGCACCCTGGTCCTCCAGTTGGGGTTGGGCAAAGGGTTGACAATCCTTTACTGTAAAAAATACTTTGTTACGGAAACAGGAACAAGTGACATCTCTGAACCCGTGGAAAGAAGTGAAGCTTGCCAGATATTTGGTGTAATGACGGCTGGGGATCAAAGCCGAAGGGAAGTCAACAGCCTGACAGTGAATCTTCTTTCTCCCAAAAACACCCTAAAGCAGATGGGTAAAGGAGACGTGGACGACCTAATGAAACCTGGAGAAGGACAATAGAACGGGAAATGAAGGAATGTAAACTGACATGGGACACCAGGGGCAGAATGAATGCCTTATGTGTCAACAGCGACATAAAGAGGATATAGAACTTGTCATTGCTTTTTGAACTGCGGGCTCTCCATACTGCTGTTGAAATCAACACAATGTGGTCTGCTGTCAAATCGTCCACAGCTAGGACTGAACCACGTCTGTAACTTCTAAAACGCATACGCTAATAAATTATATATATACAAAACGATACTGGGTTTACTTTCTACCCCCTTCACATGTAATACGTTAATACTAATACCCACACATACGCAAATGATCTCATATACACTTATTTTAAAGCTAAGGTGCAGGAAGGGTGGAACAAACAACAGTGGAGACTAGATACTAGCCAGCATTAAAATTGGCAGGAGAACTGGCAATGACAGAAGATATTTTCTGATAGGCAATGACGAGAGAAACTTTCTGCAAAGGACTCACCACAATTTTGATTAAATAGGTATAACAAAAACAAATGTGTGACAAACAGAATGAGTCAATGTTTCTGGGTATGCTCTTAAACAGTGGTTTTCAACATTTTCAGGAGGTGCCTCTCTTGAACATATGGCAAGCCCCCCCCCCCCCCCCCCCAATATCACACAGACGCAGAAATAAATAAACACTGTAAAGTCAGGTGAATAAACCAGGAGGGCTAACCTGGTCAACAAATGCCTGAGGAAGTTGGATATGTCGGCTGAAAGGCACAAATATCACAGACATGTTGTAAATGGGTACAACACATTTATGCAGAAGAAAAAAAGAAAGTTGAAGAAAACTTTATGTTTTCGGTTTCAGGCTTGGACATTACCCAAAGAACACAAGAGAAAACTAACCACTTCTGAAAGGAGATATTTGAGAAAGTCTGCCAATAAAAGAGATCATGTGAGAATTCTAGAGATGAGATTAGAAGACCTGTTGGAACATATAGCATCATTATTTTCACTGCAGAATAAAAAATGAAATTGTTCGCTACCTAGTAAGAAGTAATCCAAATGATGCCAGAAGAGAGTGTGTGCAAAATGGAACCACCAAGAGACAGAGGGGGACCTAGAAGAAGATGGCTCAGAGTCATAGATATCCTGACACTTCCCTATACAGCAACTCAGCACACCATGGCTGAGCCAACTACCAACCATTACACTGCAATGACTAGCTGAAAGCAGAAACTGTGACAAAAGAAAAACTGCCACTACTGCCTGTAATTACCCCTTTTGCTGTGTATGCACTGGGGTCTTTGATACTGAGGATTTAAGGTCGCATTGCTAGTGCTGTCATCACCAACTGTGCAGGTTAGGAGTTTATTTTTGCCCCAAAAGAAAAAGAGATCTCCAACCTTACTCAGGATTCGAAACTCAGTCTCTGGCATGAGAGCCCATATGGGCAGCCGCACCTCAGTAAGAAGAAAAATAAGTGCTATTACTCTACTTATAAATACACAAATTAATTCTGTCACTGTTACAGCAACAACAAACAACTTACAAGTTTGTATCTGCTAGCACTGATTTTTGAGATTTCGATGGGTGCTCTGTTCCTGACGTCAACAAAGGAAGCTTCGCTAATAGCCAGAGCACACACTATATGTGCCCACTGGTTATCAACGGTTGGCTTCAAGGCACCACCTCTCAAACAGCACAGGGTACAAAACTAAAATTTTAAAAAATATATTTGAAAAGTTTTACATTCCAGTTCTGAGATTAACTGCTAAGAATAAACACAGTCAAATACTTAATATTACAGAAATAATTTCTTTAAGAGCGACTAAATCTGTTTATGACATCATCATCATTAATCAGCATGTCTTTTACATAACATCGTGCTCTTCACAGCATTCCTCAAAGTCTCTCTTTCTCTAGACAGTTCTTCAGTCCTGGGTGCTTTCACAGCCAATGCATCTTCAATGTCTTGTATCCACCTTAAAGGTCAGCCTCTGCTTTGCTGTCTGGACACTGGCCCCTCAATCACTGTTCCCTCCAGGCCACCATGATGTTTGACACTGCCAAAATACCTCAGCTACTGACACAGAAGTTAAGCCACTTCTCCCTGATGTTCAGACTGTGTAGGATGTTAGTATTTTTCTTCTTCTTAGTCCGCTGTATTGTATTCTAAGAATTTTTCTGTCGCATTTCAGTTCAAAGCTTCCATTTTTTTTCTCAAAGACTGAGTAAGAGTCCACGACCCATATCCATCACATCAATTACCATGGGAAAGACACATGATCCCAAAATTGTTATTTTAACTCGCTTGCTGGTGCTATGCCATAGATTCTTCATGCTGTTAATCATCTGCATATATTTATGACATAGTCACATGTATCCGGTGGTGTTAATCACTTATTAACTCAAGACACTATGGAATGCGTCAAATATGAAGTGGTGATGTTGTGACAAACCATATCATAAAGATAAGTGATTGTATGCACTGTCGCTTGTAACTGTATCACCATCGTCACATGCTGGTAAAGGTTATCTAGCTGCATTTAATTTCAACGTTCGTGATTGTCATTTTGTGAACTTATAGGCACACTGTCATGAATATAAATAAACAGCGGCCGAAGACACATGGCGTCCCTAGTGAATAATTTTACAAAATTGTGTTGCGGATTTAACCTGATATGTGTATATGTTAAGTATATGTATATTTTAAAAAATATACTGAAACAAATGTAACCAGAACCGATAAGTAACTTTTGTCTCTTTATGCGTAGCTGAATATATAAATTTCTCCGGCGGTAATTGTGTGTGTGTTGAGATGTCCTTTAAGCTTCTAACAAAAGCAGACCTTCAAATAATTTTTTCTTCTAGATAGCATTTGCTGTTTATTACTAAAAAATTAACAATTTTTAAAAACTGCATCCGTTTTCATGGAAGTGTGGACAGTTTTATTATTCAGAGATGTTGAAAAAGCACCTCAATGACGGCTTTCGAGAAAGTTTTTGACATGTTCTGTAATTTTACAGTGATTTTTGTTTTTTGTTTGTTTTGGTGGGGTTATCTGTGCCCAACAATGGTGAAAAGGCATGTTGCGTCATAGCAACCGAAATATAGCAGAAGGCATGAAAATGAGTAGAACCATGTGCCAGAAGTGTCTGAATGGCCTCCATGGGCCTTATTTCCCCAAAACACAAGTCTTAGAACTTATTCAACCTTCATAAAAAAAATATTTACCCACATTTTTCAGTTTGATTCATACAAATTTGTTAGTGCATTCAATTTCCTTCTGTTAATGCATTTAATTTCCTACCCGAATATGTATAGTTTTATATATGTTAATTAAGGGCTTTGTTTTTTAACTCTTTACGGACGTTTAGCCAATATACTGGCGATTAAGTCTATACCTTAAAGATGTATAGCCAGTTTACTGGATCATGATAGAGACACTCTAACTTCGTTTATGTCAATAATTTTCATGTGTCTCACATCCTTGAATGTTGTGTGATTTTAAAAATATTTTGTTGTTATACTGATATTTAAGTAGTTTAGATTTATATACACTCACTTTTCTTTAATTTGATATATTATAAGTCCCGATACAGCCAATACTTTTTCTTCAGGAAGGTTTTAGCTTTGTCATGTTGCACTAAAAAAATTCTGCTCAAAATTAATGCTGTCCAAACCCCAGAAAAAATGCTGCCCTGAAAGAGTTAAACAGCCCATATGTGCAAGAAATGCGAGAAGCAATCTGATTGGCTGATTCGAAAACCTACCATCCAATTTCAAGGCTTGTATTACGCAGAGCCAACCAATCGGCCCAGTCATCCTTTCGGCTACTTTCTGTTGAGCCGATATTTCAGCTGCGTCGTTTCTAGAGGGTTAATATAATTCTCAAATCTCATACTACAGCGCAGTAGTGCTATAGCTGCAAATGGTGCTGCGAGTTGTAACAGACAATGGTGATTTCATATATTCTTATACATTATGCATCTCCATTTAATGTCAATTTTTATCAAACTTAGTTTAGCATTCACTTCAATATGTATCTGAAATGTTTCAATAAGTTGTTGAAAAAAGGTCTTTAAACTGAATTCTTAGATTTGGCAGGCAGGAAAGAGGCACCTAAGGGTAGGGTTAAGCATGGGGCTGGTGACCTCATCCTGTAAAAACAATAGCCACAACAACAATAAACCTAAGAAAGTGTCAAAAAGAGAAGCAAGAAATACCAAACTGAGCTGCAGAATGAAGTTAACAAGATGGAAGGGACATGGAGCTGTTTGCAACAGCAAAGGACAGAAAAAAAACTTAGCTGAGTTGGTTGAGGGCCTATGCTTCAAAACTCAATTCTTAAATCGTATTGTGTCATGTGGCTGCAACAGCTAATTAAATTTTAATGGCGGCAGACATCGCAGCGAGTTGTAATGAACCATGCCGGTTTAATATGTTTTTATACATTATGCATCCCCATCTACTGTTAAATCTTGTTCACATGGTTATAAACCATAAGTGCTCTGCCACCAGTACGGACAGATGATAAGAAACTGTCCACCCATGTCTTCATCCGCACGAAACTCAGCATTCCTCCATTTACCCCAGAGTGTAAACTGGTCCCTATTTCCTAGAAACTGGATAAACCCCCGGGAACCGTCTAGTTTCGAACACCGGCTGTGGACTGCAGCAAGTCGCTGTTGGATTTTAAAACAAGTCTCCTATCGATTGCGCTAACGCGGCCCCTGGTTTAATATGTAGGAACGCCTACACCAGCCAGGTGTAACCTGCAGCTCTATGTAGGTAAGGACTGACATTATAATGCTGCAACTGCCCTTTTAAGGACAAATGATGAAGAAGAAGAAAATTGGCTAACAAATGCTCAAGGAAGTTGGATGTGATGGCTAAAAGGCACAAATCTGGCAGCTTGCTGTAAATAAGCCTAACGCAATTAAGTCACTTGGATGAACGAAACGAAGACAAGCAAACTAACTGAGGCTCATGGCAGTGCAACCATCTTTTGCCCAACAATAAATAATCTGTAGTGGAACTTACCAACTTATCTGGAGGCTGCTCCGAACAACAAGCACTGCAGGTCCAGTCTGTGGGCAATACAGTTTCCAGTACACCATAACAACCTGTCAGAACAATCAATGTGACATTTATCACACTGTAAACTACGGATCATGGCTAATTTTTTGTATGATTTAGTAGTTTTCTTACTAGTTTTGTTTTTCTTTGTCTTCTTCTTAGCGCATACCAGCTGTAATCTAACCAGTGGAAAGTTCTGGTTGTTCATCCACCTTTGGACAGTAGTCTTGTTCCAGAACCTGAGTGTTATGTGCACATCCATCTTACAGATCTGACATATTTGTATGCAGACTGATGGTTGATTGCCTCTTAGCCAGATGCACTATTACTGAGTTGAGTTGAGTGAAGAATTGACATCACAGCACTTAGGGCATTTCCATGCATGGTCCTTCCTCATCTTCAGCAGCCAGCGCAGAGTTCCAATACTAATTGTACCGGTCACAATCTGGTTATATGTTTGTCTTGCCTTTCCTCTGAGTGAGCCGGCTAGACCCTCTGGTTTGAGCCAGGTGCCTCATTCTCTCCAGGCCATAATGCACTCTGACTTTAAAGATCTAAAACTCAGGGATTTATTTTTTCCAAGTTATATCCAAACCTCAGACAATGATTGCATTTAATGTCTGGAAAGAAAGACTGACATAGAAGACAGCTCAATCAGGTTTTCTTTTTTCATGATAATCAAGCTCATATGAATTTACATCTTCTAAGAAAGAACTATTGATCAAAAGATTGCCTTTTTGAGGATCCTCATTTTCATGGAAATTATTAAAGGAGTTTTCAACTGTCTTTAAGTGCTGACTTGTTAGGTTAAATATTACTTGAACTGTGCTTGGAAGAACACCGGACTAAACTATAACACACTAACAAATGTATATAAGGGGACTGCGTGGTCTCAAGGCATGGCATCCGCCTCGAGTGCTGGAGGTTCCGGGTTCAATCCAGAGTGAAGGCTGGGATTTTTTCACAGGGACTTCTAGTAATTTCCCCTGGTCTCTGGGTAGTAAGATCGGATGCCCGTGAGCATTGTTGTGCACGTAAAAAATCCCTTGGCAGTTGGAAATCAAAAAGAGTAGCCTAACGGCGCTGCCCTGGCAAAATTTGGAGTTAAAAATCTACCCAAAGTATTTCAGGATCCTCGCTGGTGCTACAGAGTTTGTCCACTGCGCTGAGATTCTTTGGACTCAGGCTTGAGTTAGAAAGAACTGAGCACTTAGGAGTTATACCTTGTGCCACGATGTTGATCCCTTGTATAAACATAAACAAACAAATCCCTATAACATTCTATATAAATGCACAGTCAATTCGTTCATGTGTCTGCTTTCTAAGAACATCCAATCCCACCTGTCCTGTAACCTCTACGTCTTTCTTGTTACCTTTCTTCCACCATAAGTGCCATGTAGCTATAAGATTGTAGCAATAAGACAGACCAGACTATAATATTCTACACTAATGCGCAGCCAATGTGTCAGCTTTCTATGAATGCCCATCCCCATCTGCCCGGAAACCTCTACGTCCTTTCCCTTTGTCCCTAAGGTCTAAACTACTAGATGCTTGCCGCGGATCGGAAGGTCGTGGCTTTGCTCCCTGGCGGAGCCGGACTTTTTTCAAAAATTACCTTGGCTCCCAGGTTGACCCAGCTCTGAGTGGGTACTGGGTTCAGTCCCGGGAAGTAGAGGCAGTCGGCGCGATGCTGACCACATCATCCATCTTGTGCCGATTGGTCTATAAAATATAGGTCTAGCCCTTTATGCCCTATACCCCTAGAGGCCTGGAAAATGGTCTTTTTTAAAAAAAAACTTTTACTAAGGTCTAGCCCACTTCGTCCATTTTTTACCTGGGCCCTGCCAAGTTACACTTATCAGTATAGCAACACTGGTTTGTTTACAGTACGGTTGCTGTCCAATGTTTGATAACTCCAGTCTGGTTTGTTTTACCGCTAAACGTGTTATCTTACAGTAAATTCATGTGCACACAAAAACACATGGACTGTTGGTCCAAGATGAAAAGACCCTACTGGATCTGCTTCTTTTTTGTTTTAGCATTCACTGGCTGTAAACTCCTGGAGAAAGTTATGGTTGTTCATCCACTCCTGGACTTTGGTCTCAATACAGTTTTGTGTGCACGGCCATTTCACAGATCTGGCTTATCTGTATGCAGAGTGTTGGTTCCTTGCCTCTCATGCAGAGGGCATAGAGTTATAAACTGTGATCGAAATAAAATTCAACTGATGACCTGAATATGCACCCTATGTTATCAACATAATATCCAATGCCAACAAGCGTCTTTATTATTATTATATTATATTATTATATATTATTATATATTTATTTATTATTATCCTGTTGTGACATTAAATGTCACATAGGGCTGCCATTCCATTCGATCCTGGGCAATCAGTTCAATATCATGGATGGAATCCAATCCAGCAGCGTTGGCTGCCCTCATCATCCTTCAACTTAGGATTTCTTCTAGGCTTCCTCGCCTCCTCGATCCCTTTATTTCCCATGTTAATGCCTATTTGGTGATTCTCTGCTGGTTTCTTCTCAAGATGTGTCTAATCTAGTGTCATGTTCTCTGCCTTATAACGGTTGATACTAGTAGTTGCCCAGACATTTCTTTTACTTCTTCACTCTTTTTGAATTCATCCTATTTTATTTTCATCATTCTCCTCAGACATTTGTTTTTTAAATGCATTTAGCTTTTGTTTAGTGATTCCTCCTCTTTCACTTGCATAAGTGTAGATGGTCTTTTTGTGTTTGTGTGTATTGCTATCCCACATGATCAATAGAATCAAGGATCCCGTCAGTGTTCTTGCCTTACCCCAGCCATATGACAAAATCATTCAGGTATGTCTCACTCTGCCTTCCCCCTTTTTCCATCAATGACGTCAGTCTTTACCAAGCCTTGAATCCATTTGTTCTAACAAAATGTCTGAAAAACTCAGACTGTGTATGTCTAATGTCTCTAATCAGTTTAGGGTGTTCATCTGTCTTGAGAAGGACTACCTCGTCTGTTTCTGCCCTCCACATGCATATAATCCCTACAGATTAAAAACTGACAAAATGACAAGATATACTAGAGCAGGTCTATTCAACTGGCGGCCCACAGGCTGATTGCGGCCAGCGCAGACTAGCAAGTGGCCCGAGGATCACTGCCACCAGTACTGTATTTAAGATCTTCCTATGGCCGATCTCGGGTCTCTGTTTTGACCCCCCCCCCCCCCCTTTCTGAGTAAACTTAGTCCTGTACTAAAGCACACCCCTTGACACTGACTACAGAAAGACTACTTACTGGCATGAACGCAAACACAACACTTGCAGCACTGCAGAAGAGCACTTAGTCCATCTGTATCTAAAGGTGAGTAATTGCAGAAGGGTGTCTGGTTGGAGGCACTGATAGCAAATGAAGCCTCAGGAATCATGGGGAGTGATCTGGATGGTATATGGCTGCCAGGAGAACTGTCATTGAAGATGTGTGATTCGCTTTCAATCTGTCAACAACACAGCAACACTTACTGGTGGAAATATAGACAACTAAAACAACAAATCACATGTTAAGTTACATATGCGAAATGTGAAAAATGTGTGAAATGTTTACCCCATTCTTCAATATCTGAAAACTTGTTCCAGGTGGTAAAACAGATTCATGACAACCAACATTTTAATATGAAATTATTATTTTCAGGTCCCCATATGGGTTCTGGGGCCCTAGTGGGAGTGTGGGGGGAGGAGGGATTACCCTCAGCATCTTAAGCATTCTGTAAAAAAGACAAGACTAATTAAAAAAAGTGGAAGTTATGTCAAGAGGTATATATCACGGCATCCCTGTAAACCACTAAACAAAGAATAACTCAGGGACATTCTGCAGCTCAGTGCTTCCAGCAACAGTGCCATGAAAGAAAGATTCACAGAAAATTAGAGATTTATACTCTTAAGTCAGTGGTTCCCAACCCTTTTCGAATGCCCCTCCCTCCCCCAACCCATTTTATAGAGGCAAACTGGCCCACAACCGCACACATTAAAAATCTGCTTTTTAGCAGCGGCAATGGAGACATGTACAAACTAGCGGGTCATGCGGGCGTGAAGGGAAATGAGCGAGCAGACCAACTGGCAAGCACTGCACTAATGATTGGGGGAAAAGGTATGGACAGAGCAGATATAGTCTACGCTGTACGAACTGGGCTAGTGGAGAATGAGGAATCCCTGACACTAACACGATTGCGTGACATGGGAGTTAAGCATGGTGATGCATGTCTTTGTCGTCTTTGAGGCCGAGAAAGGAGACAATATAACCAGCTTCTTATGGGGACAATTAGTAGAAGTACTTTGGAGTGGTTGCTGCTTCAAAGAACTGAGCACGCATGGGTGTGCCCAATGTGCAGTGACATGAATTGTGATAACAAAACATAAAATAACATCTTGTAGGGAGTCGGCAGTCCGAAACCCAAGTTCAAGGTGTCTCCTTCGTGCCAAAGAACTGCATGGCTGTTGGGTGAACAGTCGTTAACGATGGCAGGCAGGTCGTTGTAGGGGCGACGCCTGCTGGTGGATGTAATGCCCTAAGTCCCTTCCCCAGCTAATAATGAGGGTACTGCTGGGGTGACCGTTTATTAACCCTCATATAATGCTTCCGGTCAAAATGGACGCTAAGCAAGGCCACCTTTTTTTTTTAAGCCGTGGCAAATGTTTTTTTTTCTGCCAGACGGTGGCCACTGCATTTTTTTTCTCCATTTGTAGACTGGAAGGATGTAGTTTCATCGCCCAGCTTCTGAGTTGAGTGCATGGCGTGACACTGTGAGCTGCGTTTGTTTTTCGTTGGCACAGGAGCGGAGCAACTGTGGGGTGGCCCGTTTGCCATGAAGCTGAAACTAGGATTACCAGATCCTGCATTCCACAAATAAACTGCTGGTCAAAATGCATTAACATCATTTTTGCTTTCTTTTTTATTTATTAAGTTTCATAGCTAGCTAACCACTGCCCACTGGCCCCACAGAATACTCTTCTTGACCTATTTTGGGGTCAAGACCCATGGGCTGGAAACCAATGCTCCAAGTTAGTGTCATGGAGTGTTTACTGTGGTGCAACTTCTGTCTGTAGCATATAAGTACTCAATGAATATTTTTAATGATGAATGATCAGCTTCAGTAAACAAAGAGTCATTTGCAGCTTCTATAGTGGGCTGAAGATGAATTTAGTAAGTTATACTACCATCCATTTTACCAGGATCAAAGATGAATTTAGTAAGTTATACTACCATTCATTTTAACATGAGCAAAGATGAATTTAGTAAGTTATACTACCATTCATTTTAACACGAGCAAAGATGAATTTAGTAAGTTATACTACCACCCATTTCAACAGCAGCAAAGATGAATTTAGTAAGTTATACTATCATCCATTTTAACAGCAGCAAAGATGCATTTCGTAAGTTATACTACCATTCATTTTAACACGAGCAATGGTGAATTTAGTAAGTACTACTACCATCAATTTTAACAGGAGCAAAGATGAATTTAGTAAATCATACTGCCATACAATTTATAATGTGCAAAGATTAGTTATATTATCATTCATTTTAACTGGAGCAAAGATAAATGGACAGTTTGAAACAGGCTTCAAGCTTCATGGACAGACTATTTCAGCTGGAAAACACTGCCATATTGATTGTCTAAAGTGTCGTGGAATGATAAGCCATTACACATCAGTCCGAAAGACTGGTAACTTGCCTTACCTGTAATCGGCACATCATTCAAACTTGGACTCGTCCGGGAAGGTATATAGTCCCTTATATCGATATATGCCTTTATTGGACAAAATTATAATGTCTGCATCTTCTAGTTGCTTTAACTTAACACAACTTTTAAATGTACATCTATTGGATAAATATTAGAGGAGTTATTTGAGGTTTCGTGGAAACCGATTTACTCCTTGCCCCTGTATACTAGGAACTACTTCTTACCAACGCCCGAAGAAGGAATTTTGCGCCATTCTTTTTGCCGGCTTCCAAGCGTTCAGACGTGTGAATCGACGCCTGTATAATTCATTTTTAAAAGGCGATCTGTAATGTCTAGGACTTTTCAAATGCTTGGGTAAGTTAATTATAGTTTACGAGTACCTAAAACAATGTCTGTTAAAGTGGTCACTGCTGTAGAGAGATCAGTATCGGCTGTGGGATCACACATAGTTCGACCGTTCTTGATCGCTAGAGAAGCGGATTCGAACTTAGACCTTCCTCTGTACAGACTAAATAGCCTATGCCCTGAATAACCCACATACTGGTAAAACTAATAACCTTACAAGTGTGTACTATTTAAACTAACAACAGAAGTTTGTGCATACGAATGGGGACAGAATTTAAGTCAGGACTTGGTCGGCCAGTGTTGGAATGTGTTTGACCCAGATCAATGAATGTGTTGGGTTGGCTTGTGAGTCGTAGGGAATAGAAGTACTGACGGTAAATATTGGTGTCTGTGTGCAGATGGGAGGGGAGGGGGGGGGGGGGGGGAGAGAGAGATGATGTATGTGTTAGAGTGTCTATCTATCTCCACCATATATCTGACTTTCCATCTCTTGCACTAAACAGACAGATAAATGATAGGAGACAGTGTCTCCTAGTCCTGAGAGTGCACTCTGAGGAATGAAACAGGGGAGCAGAGGTGGAGTAGGCTGATATGGGCTGGTGACTGATACTTATTCTGTCTTTCCTGTCAAGATGTTACCCTCTTGGTGATGACTAATTATGAGTTATTTCTTGGCAGGATGAAACCTTTGTGAAGAGCGGGCAGAAGAATCACAGTCCAACCAACCATAAACCATAACCCATCAATCAATTAACCCATTACCTACTTATTATCACCCAACTACCAATTGAGAAGACTGTCCTCCTCAAGATGGGGTACAATATAACCCAAACATCATCCAGTGCCAGAGCATGTGTGTAGCTCAGGGACAGTGCTGTGAATTACTCGTGGGAGAAGGTGCTGTGTGCCTATCCAGTTGCTGTGTGCCTATCCAGTTGCTGCGTCCTTTATGGTGAGGCACTTCTCTACCATCTGATCCAGTGAGGCAGAGTCACCAAAGACAGTCGAATCATCAGGAGCTGAGGGAAGCATCACCGACAGAAAGAGGATAAGTGACAGTTGATGCCATGTATTGCTATATTCCTCACAGCTCCCATGTTTCCCAATGATGACAATGTGTCATCTCCAGGACCTTCTGTCTGTGTAATTTTGGTGATCTGGACATTGTATCCTGGAATCCAGCTATAGAAATCTGGCATCTGCTTCTCTATTTTATATATGTATATATTGTACTGATTACATGCATTCATTTTCATGGCTGACTTAGGTGTCTCTATTTCACCTTTTTAAGCGTCTAGCAGTTGTGTGTGAATGAATCTTAAATATATGTGTTAACATGGTTATGATAATGAATGAGGCTGCAGTGCTTGAACACTGTACCTTTGATTTACTTCTTGGCGCTACTTATGTATTTTTAGCAGAGCCGAAGAAACCTTCAGAGCATCTTGCTGCGGTAACCACCCGAGCACAGCATAAGAGTGCCTCAGAGGATTCTCCTCATGTAAATCCTCTTCCTGAGGAAATTAAGGTGGCCCAAAGTAGTGACCCAACTCTTAAGGCATGTTTCAAAAAGTTAACTGCAAGTCACAATCCCCCTTTGAAGAAAGAATTCTTCATGAAAGGTAAGTTACTTTACAGATGGGCAAGTGACAAGTATACAGAGCACAGTCAGCTTGTGGTACCCAAAACATATAGACTACAGATTCTCCAGATGGGGCACACTATAGCCTATAGTGCCCATATGGGAATTCATGCAACTACACAACGCATTGCCTGTCATTACTTTTGGCCAGGTATGTCAGCAGATATCATGCGTTATGTCAAATCCTGTCCGGAGTGCCAGAAGGTAGCTCCCAAAGGCAGGAATGCACCAGTCGGACTGGGAGAAACCCCTGTCACCTCCACACCTTTTGAAAGGGTGGCGGTCGATTAGGTGGGACCACTTCCTCTCACAAAGAAGAAGAATGCTTACATATTGACCTTGGTAGACTGTTGTTCAGGTTATCCGGAGGCTATTGAACTTCGGAGGATTGACAGTAAGACTGTGGCAGAGGCATTGATGAGCATTTTCACAAGAGTGGGATTCCCTTCGCAGATACTGACAGACAATGGATCTCAGTTTAGAGGGAAACTAATGGAGGAGGTGTTTCAGATAATCAAGTCTCAACACATTTGCATCAGTCCATACCGACCCCAAGCGAACGGCCAGAATGAGCGGTTCAATGGAACGTTGGTTTCGCTTCTGAGAAGATTAACCCAGGAAAAGCCAGAGAGGTGGGACGAGTATCTGTCTGCAGCACTATTCGCCTACCGGGAAGTACCCAATGCCTCTACTGGATTTCCACTTGCGACCTTGGTGTTCGGAAGACACATTTCTGGTCCCTTGGCCATTCTCAGGAAGACATGGACAG